CTCTAACCCCACGGGAGAGAGAGTATCGCTAGAGAGCTATATAGAGAGCGATAGATAGTAGAGAGAGAGAGATAGAGATAGATCTATGCGATAGCTATCTAGCTGAGAAGAGAGAGATACAACAATAAAGAGAAAGTGCGATATACGAGAGGATACCTAGAGAGAGAGAGATAACAGAAGAGAGAGAGAGATCACAGAGAGAGAGAAGAGATAGATACACAGAGAGATAGCGAGATGGAGAGAGAGAGAGCGATACCGAGAGAGATGAGAGAGAGAAGAGGAGAGAGAGAGGCAGAGAGAGAGACGAGAAGAGAGAGAGAGAATACAGAGAGAGAGAGATACAGAGAGATATACAGAGAATACAGATAGAGATACAGAGAGAAGAGATACGAGAGAGAGAGATACAATAGAGAGATAGAGAGAGATACAGAGAGATCAGAGAGAGATATACGAGAAGAGATACAGAGATACAGAGAGAGATACAGAGATACAGAGAGAGAGATACAGAGAGAGAGAGGATCAGAGAGAGAGATAGAGATACATAGAGAGAGGAGAGAGAGAGAGAGAGAGAGAGATACAGAGAGAGAGAGAGAAGAGAGAAAGAGATAGATTACAGAGATATAGAGAGAGAGAGAGAGAGAGAGAGATATATCTAGATTAGATATAAGAGAGCTATGATATAGCTATCATATATCGATCTATATATTCTGATATATATAGCTAATATATCGATATATAATTAACTACTAGTCTCTACCCCACCTCCCACTTTTCTTTTCTCTCTCCTCTCTCTCTCTCTCTCTCTCTCTCTCGCTCTCTCTCTCTCTCTCTCTCTCTCTCCCCTTCTCTCCCTCTCTCCTCTTCCCTCTTCTCCATCTGCCTCCTCTCTCTTCTCTCTTCCCCCTCGCTCTAGAGAAGATCCTATATAGATCCAGAGATATATAGAGATACTTATAGAGATACAGATAGATAGAGATATATAACATAAATAGAGAGAAAGAGATCTTACCCACACGAGATAATATATTAGATATAGATAGAGATAGAGCTAGATAGCTCTCTCTTCTCTCTCTCTCGCGCTCTTCGCTCTCTCCCCTCTCGCTCCCTCTCTCTCTTCTCCCCTCTCTCTCTCGCCCTCTCTTCCTCCTCTTCTCGCTCCTTCTCTCTCTCCCCGCTCGCTCTCCGCTTCTTCCCTCGCTCTCGCGCTCTCGCTCTCTCGCTCTCCCTCGCCCTCGCGCTCTCTCTCTCTCCTCCCGCTCTCTCCCCTCTCGAGAGAGAGATCGAGAGATATACACAGGAGAGAGAAGAGAAGATACAGATAGAGATAGAGAGAGAGATACAGAGAGAGAGAGCTTACAGCAGAGAGAGAGCGAGAGAGAGATACAGAGAGAGAGAGAGAGAGAGAGAGAGAGAGAGAGAGAGAGAGAGGAGAGAGAGAGAGAGAATGAAGACTATGCTCTAACAATGGGAGGGGGAGAGAGATGATATTGGTAGAGGAGAGAGAGAGAGAGGAGAGGAGAGAAGAGAGAGCTAACATTGGGAGAGAGATAGCTGAGATATAATCATCTATCTCTCTCGCTCTCTCTCTCTCGCGATTGCACGCTCTCTACTCTCTCTCTCGCTAGATCTACTCATACTCTATCTCATCATCTCGTTTGAAGACTGGAGGTTATGAAGACTGGGCTCTAACATGGAGAAAGATAAGTTTATAAAGGAAAAGACTTTTTCTTCTACCTTCTTTGAGAGAGAGGGTTATGAAGTCTGATCATGAAGTCTGCTGGTGTCCTGCTGGCTTTCTTTTTATGAAGGTCCTTTTACATTCTAAGTCTGGGCTTCGAAAAAACTAATCTAAACAAACAGGGAGAGAAGAGGAAGAGGTTTATGAAGACTACTGGTTGGGCTCTAACAGAGGTAAAAAAGATAGAGAAGAGTTTTATGAGACGGGGTGGGCTCTAACAGGAAGGAAGAGAGGTTTGAATAACTGGGCTCTAACAGGGAGAGAGAGAGGTATGAAAGAACTTTTTTTTTGACTACTGGGCTCTAACAGGGGAGAGAGAGAGGTTATGAAGACCTTTTTGGTCTAACAGGAAGAGAGAGGGAATTATAAAGAACTTGGCTCTAATAGTGAAGGAGAGGGTTATGAAGATGTTTCTGGCTCGAACAGGGAGAGAGAGGTTATAAGACACTCTAACAGGGAGAGAGAGAGGTTATGAAGACTGTGCTCTAATAGGATAGAGAGAGAGGTTATGAAGACCTGACTCCTGGGAGCTCTAACAAGGAGAGAGAGAGATGTTATAAAAGAGACTTGTTGGCTCCTAACAGGGAGAGAGCGAGAGGGTTATTAGTACTTTGGCCTTTCTCAACTATCGGTAGATCATATAGTTTCTTCATCCTTTGGCTCTACGGGAGAGAGAGAAGAGGTTTAATGAAGACAGCTCTAAACATGAGAGAGAGAGGGTTATGAAGACTGGGCTCTAACAGGGAGAGAGAGAGGTTATGAAGACTGGGCTCTAACAGGGAGAGAGAGAGGTTATGAAGACTTAGACTGGGCCTCTAAAAAAAAAAACCCAGGGAGAGAGAGAGATGGTATGAAGACTTGGGGCTCTAACAGTAGAGAGACTATTTTCTTCATACACAACCCACACATCTCTAATAACAGTACTATTGTCCACAAACTATCTTTCGCTCCTCTATCTCTATTAGCTCTCTCTCTCTTCTACCTCCTATAAGAAAAAGAAACGGGGCCTCCGTGATCTTCCTCTCTCCGTCAATGCCTCAAGCGATGATCTCAGGCCTACGATGCCCGCAACAGGTCTTATACTAAATTCGCTTCTCTTCCCCCCCCCTATCTAGATGATAAACTCCCTTATCTACTGGGTGAAAAACCACAGTGTGCCATCACAGCTGCAAGATTTGTGACCTGTTTGCCACAAGAAAAGGGCAACCAGTGAAGAACAAACACCATTGTAAATACAACCCCATATTTATGTTTATTTATTTTCCTATTTTCCTATTTCTACTTTAACTATTTGCACATTGTTACAACACTGTATATATACATAATATGACATTTGAAATGTCTTTATTCTTTTGAAACTTCTGAGTGTAATGTTTACTGTTAATATTTATTGTTTATTTTCACTTTTGTTTACTATCTACTTCACTTGCTTTGGCAATGTTAACACACGTTTCCCATGCCAATAAAGCCCTTAAATTGAAATTGAATTGAATTGAATTGAATTGAATTGAGAGAGAGAGAGAGAGAGAGAGAGAGAGAGAGAGAGAGAGAGAGAGAGAGAGAGAGAGAGAGGAGAGAGAGAGAGAGAGAGAGAGAGAGAGAGAGAGAGCGAGAGAGAGAGAGGAGAGAGAGAGATATATTACTGATGCCTTATTGCTGTTGGTCCCACCATTTTTGTTATATGTATACTTTGACAATGTAAGTAATTTAACTTGCCATGTCAATAAAGTCTACTGAATTGAATTGAGAGAGGTTATGAAGATTGGGCTCTTACAGGGGGAGACATAGAGGTTATGAAGGCTGCTGTTTCAGACTGACCTGTCTCTGAGGCTGACTGTCCAGGGAGAGTTTCCAGGAAGGCCACCAACAATGCGCATTATTGGGCTCTTGGCCAAACGATCCTCTCTCTTCCCACACTCGTTAAACTCAACAATCTCTGTGTGCACACACATGCATTCATGTGCATACAAACACGCACACACACACACACAAACACACACACACACACACACACAACTACTTCAGTTGATGAGTAAAGTTGTGTCCACAGGTCCACTTCCAGGAAATACTTATTTTTCATTCTAGTTGCATATCCCTTTAGAAACTCACCTGCTGGCTCAATGATGGACAGTTTCTCCCCAGCTGTTCAAACAACAATAACCAGAATAATTATTGAATCAGTTTATAACAACACAGAGCCATAGAGGGATTAGTGCTTTGAGCAAAATGTATTAAAAGAGCTTTATAGTGTTAGTAAGTTAATATTGTTATTATTAATAATGATATTAGGCATACTATTAGAGCATAGAGATAAAAGATAATGAGTGACAGAGTAACAAAATAAAGATATATGGAGAGAGGAATGTGATGCCTGACGGCACAGAGTAATGGGAGGAGTGGAATCTTTACCACATTGCTTGATGGCGCAGTAGTCAAACTCTGTTTTGGGGTCAGTGGTGTAGCACCATGGTCCGTGCTGGTCCCCATCTGGGTTCCGGCAGTAGTTCTCTGTCAGGTTGGCATCAGGATGGGTCCCTGGGTTTATCCTGGAAAGCCACAGTACAGTAAACCTACCTGCGCATGTCACAGGAGACACTCCTACAAACACATGCTACTATCCCATAAATAAATACAAATATATATATTGAGTTTCCCTCTTTGACAATGCCAAACAGACCTGCCTTTTACAAATTCATGATCAATTTAATTTTAGAATCTACTGGTTATTTGTCATACTTTGTTTTGTGTGGCATGTTGACACTCCACTTCTGGCAAGTGATGCCCTTACGCGTCTTTCGGACTACACCCCTGTAGTTTTTACCATTTTCATGGTAGCAATCTAGGGTGTGGGGAAAAAGGACATGAAAACATGATTACAGGGTTGGGATCAATTCCATTTGTATTCCAGTCAATACACTAACATTCTAATTCCAATTCTCTTTAATGCTTTTCAATTAGAAAAATGTGGAATTGGAATTTGGTTTATCTTAAAAAACGACTGGAATTGAAATAGAATTAACCTCCAACCACTTCTTTGAGTTATTAAGTAGACTTGTGTTTGAGGAACATAGATTGCATTGAGAGCGCATCGGTCCAATTGAAACACCAGAGGACAGTGTACCCTCAGCTTCGATGTCGTCTGCACAGCGTTTGATCTGTAAACAGAGAGCCGTCCTCATCATAGGCACAGACGTGAAGCACCAGGGCGCCTCGGATCCATCTGGGTTACGACAGTAGTTCTCCTCCAAGCCCCTGGGAGCAATGGTATAGCAAATAGTTTAGCCAATAAGTATAGCACACAAAAACACATGGATCATTATTCATGGGTAAATACAGTAGGTTGGATGTATGCTACTGACTCTAAGTCGCTCTGGATATGAGCGTCTGCTATGACTAAAATGTAAACGTATTCTAGGAATATAAATAACTAGACCCAAGATCAGCCATTCATGTAGATACTCATCTCAATAACCTTCACTTCACTCCTCAAGTCATCGTCCCTCCTCTCATCCCTTTAACCATCAGTCCCACGTCCCTTTAACCATTAGTCCCACCTCTCGTCCCTTTAACCATCAGTCCTACCTCTCGTCCCTTTAACCATCAGTCCCACCTCTCGTCCCTTTAACCATCAGTCCCACCTCTCATCCCTTTAACCATCAGTCCCACCTCTCATCCCTTTAACCATCAGTCCCACCTCTCGTCCCTTTAACCATCAGTCCCACCCCTCGTCCCTTTAACCATCAGTCCCACCCCTCGTCCCTTTAACCATCAGTCCCACCTCTCGTCCCTTTAACCATCAGTCCCACCTCTCGTCCCTTTAACCATCAGTCCCACCTCTCGTCCCTTTAACCATCAGTCCCACCTCTCGTCCCTTTAACCATCAGTCCCACCTCTCGTCCCTTTAACCATCAGTCCCAACCTCTCGTCCCTTTAACCATCAGTCCCACCTCTCGTCCCTTTAACCATCAGTCCCACCTCTCGTCCCTTTAACCATCAGTCCCACCTCTCATCCCTTTAACCATCATTCCCACCTCTCATCCCTTTAACCATCATTCCCACCTCTCATCCCTTTAACCATTAGTCCCACCTCTCGTCCCCTTAACCATCAGTCCCACCTCTCGTCCCTTTAACCATCATTCCCACCTCTCGTCCCTTTAACCATCAGTCCCACCTCTCGTCCCTTTAACCATCAGTCCCACCTCTCATCCCTTTAACCATCACCTCTCGTCCCTTCAACCATCAGTCCCACCTCTCATTTTTCTGGCTTACTTGCATTCATAGGTGTTTGGGTAGAAGGGGTGCTCATGAGGGTACTGGGCGTCCCAACGCTGACAGGCGATACCGCTGGTCGTCTCATTTACTTTACCGCGGTAATCCTCCCCGCGACCACGGAAACAGTTTGTGGTGTAGCTGGACCGGAGGCGTCTCTTTGTAACCACAGCTAGAGTGAAAGGAGAAAGGTGATATAGATTGTATTACATTGTTATAACAACGGAATAGTGTGAATGAATGTACAGGGTGGGTGTATGAGGGGGAAAGACGTACAGCACTTGCTGATCTCGCAGCTCTCTCTCTCCATATCAGGGTCTGTGGTGTAGCACCAGGGAACAGGGGAGGCGTCTGGGTTACGGCAGTAGTCATCATCCAAGCTCTTATCTGGATACCTGGAACGCACATGTACAGTATTCCAGCACAATGTTAGGAACTTCTCAATTGGAATTATTGATTGTTCTCTACTCTGTTACAGTACTAAATATTGATTAGAGCGGAGTAATGCTGGCAGTGCATTCAGAAAGTATTCAGACCCCTTCACTTTTTCCACATTTTGCACATGTATTAAAAATAAAAAACGGAAATATCACATTTACATAAGTATTCAGACCCTTTACTCAGTACTTTGTTGAAGCACCTGTGGCAGCGATTACAGCCTAAATTATTTTTGGGTATGACGCTACAAGCTTGGCACACCTGTAATTGGGGAGTTTCTCCCATTCTTCCCTACAGATCCTCTCAAGCTCTGTCAGGTTGGATGGGGAGCATCGCTGCACAGCTATTTTCAGGTCTCTCCAGAGATGTTCGATCGGGTTCAAGTCCGGGCTCTGGCTGGGCCACTCAAGGACATTCAGACACTTGTCCCGAAGCCACTCCTGCGTTGTCTTGGCTGTGTGCTTATGGTCGTTGTCCTGTTGGAAGGTGAACCTTCGACCCAGTCTGAAGTCCTGAGCGTTCTGGAGCAGGTTTTCATCAAGGATCTCTCAGTACTTTGCTCCATTCATCTTTCCCTCAATCCTAACTAGTCTCCCAGTCCCTGCCGCTGAAAAACATCCCCATCTCATGATGCTGCCACCACCATGCTTCACCGTAAGGATGGTGCCAGGTTTCCTCCAGACATGATGCTTGGCATTCAGGCCAAAGAGTTCAATCTTGGTTTCATCATACCAGAGAATCTTGTTTCTCATGGTCGCAGTGCGCTTTAGGTGCCTTTTGGCAAACTCCAAGCGGGCTGTCGTGCCTTTTACTAAGGATTGGCTTCCGTCTGGCCACTCGACCATAAAGGCCTGATTGGTGGAGTGCTGCAGAGATGGTTGTCCTTCTGGAAGGTTCTCCCATCTCCACAGAGGAACTCTGGAGCTCTGTCAGAGTGACCATCGGGTTCTTGGTCACCTCCCTGACCAAGGCCCTTCTCCCCCAATTGTTCAGTTTGGCCGGGCGGCCAGCTCTAGGAAGGGTCTTGGTGGGTCCAAACGTCTTCCATTTAATAATGATGGAGGACACTGTGTTCTTGGGGACCTTCAATGCTGCAGAAATGTTTTGGTACATTTCCCCAGATCTGTGCCTCGACACAATCCTGTCTCGGAGCTCTACGGACAAATTCCTTCAACCTCATGGCTTGGTTTTTGCTCTGACATGCACTGTCAACTGTGGGACCTTATATAGACAGGTGTGTGCCTTTCCAAATCATCTCCAAATCAATAGCATTTACCACAGGTGGACGCCAATCAAGTTGTAGAAACATCTCAAGGATGATCAATGGAAATAGGATGCACCTGAGATCAATTTCGAGTCTCATAGCAAAGGGTCTGAATACTTTACTGTAAATAAGATATTTAAGCAAATATATATATAAACTTGCAAAAAGGTATAAAAACCTGCTTTCACTTTGTCATTATGGGGTTTTGTGTGTAGATTGATGAGGGGAAAAAACAATTTAATCAATTTTAGAATAAGGCCGTAAAGTAATAGTAGTGGTTGTGGTAGTGGTTGTAGTGGTAGTGGTAGTGGTTGTAGTGGTAGTGGTTGTAGTGTTAGTAGTGGTAGTGGTTGTAGTGGTAGTGATAGTAGTGGTAATGGTAGTGGTGTTAGTGGTAGTGGTTGTGGTAGTGGTAGTGGTAGTAGTGGTTGTAGTGGTAGTGGTTGTAGTGGTAGTGGTTTTAGTGGTAGTGGTAGTAGTGGTAGTGGTTTTAGTGGTAGTGGTTGTAGTGGTAGTGGTTGTAGTAGTGGTTGTAGTGGTAGTGGTTTTAGTGGTAGTGGTAGTGGTAGTGGTTTGCAGTGTTAGTGGGTAGTGGTTGTAGTTGTAGTGTGTCGCGGTAGTTGTTGTAAGTAGTGGTTGTAGTTGTAGTGGGTAGTCGTAATGGTAGTGGTTGGTAGTGGTTGTAGTGGTAGTGGTTTTAGTGGTAGTGGTTGTAGTAGTGGTTGTAGTGGTAGTGGTTGTAGTGGTAGTGGTTGTAGTGGTAGTAGTGGTTGTAGTGGTAGTGGTTGTAGTGGTAGTGGTAGTGGTTGTGGTAGTGTGGTGTAGTGGTTGTGTGGTAGGTGGTGTTTTAGTGGTTAGTGGTAGTGGTTGTAGTGGTAGTGGTTTTAGTGGTAGTGGTTGTAGTAGTGGTTGTAGTGGTAGTGGTTGTAGTGGTAGTGGTTGTAGTGGTAGTGGTTGTAGTGGTAGTGGTAGTGGTAGTAGTGGTTGTAGGGGTAGTGGTTGTAGTGGTAGTGTGGTGGTTGTGGGTTGGTGTGTGGTAGTGGTTTTAGTGGTAGTGGTGGTTGTAGTGGTAGTGGGTGTAGTGGTGTGTATGTGTGTTGTTGGTAGTGGTAGTAGTGGTTGTAGGGGTGGTGGTTGTAGTGGTAGTGGTTGTAGTGGTAGTGGTGGTAGTGGTAGTGGGTAGTGGTAGTGGTAGTGGTAGTGGTAGTGGTAGTGGTAGTGGTTGTAGTGGTAGTGGTTGTAGTGGTAGTGGTTTTAGTGGTAGTGGTTGTAGTGGTAGTGGTTATCGTGGTAGGTGATAATAGTACTGGGTGGACAGACATACTTCTCAGGCTGGTAGATGTGTTGTTGTGGATACTGCTGGTCCCAACGTTGGCACTCTCTGCCACTCACTGTGTGGTCAACCTGACCCCTGTAGTCTTCCCCATTACATGTGATACACACCTCTGTGCACAAACCCAAACACACACAGTCTGTAACAACACTGTGATGTTCTCTGTGATCAAAACAGACATGTCCACTGTGCCAAACAGACATGTCCACTGTGCCAAACAGACATGTCCACTGTGCCAAACAGACATGTCCACTGTGCCAAACAGATAATAAGTTCAAAGACAACACATACACACATAGTGTTCTTCACATTATCTTTAGAAACATTTGCAGTTGCAATCCTTCAACCGCTGGAATTTTTAACAGAATGGGATGTACCATCTTTGCAGTGGGGGATATTGCAGGTCTCATAACGATATTCTGGATCAGTGGTGTAGCACCACGGCCCGATACGGTCCCCATCTGGGTTCCTGCAGTAGTTCAGCTCCAAGCCATTAGTGGCTGTGGGTGTCCATCTATGACAAGTATAGAAACAGAATGTGTGTGAGAGAGACAGAGACATATCTTATTATATATACAGTATATTATATATATATATATATACATGTTTTCAACTTCCAAACTACAACTCCCAGAAATCAATGGGATGATATTACCTGTGATCGTGTGGGAACTTTGACCACCACTGTTGACAAGTATGGCCGCTTTTTGTCATGAACACCTTGCCTCGATAGTCTTCTCCTTTACCCACAATGCACTTTCTTACGTAGACTGCACATCACAGAAAAAAATATGGCTTTTCAAAATAAAATCACAGCATACTACTGACACAACATCACTCATTTTGTAGTAACATGACATAAATTAACTGAGAACTTAAATGACAGAGAACATGACCTCACTTTGACCCCAAAGCTTACCCTTCTTCTCATAAAGGTCACAGTTGACGTTCCTCTTGACCTCTGCGTTGCTGCCATCCTCCACCCATGGTAGCTGTTTACAGGTGATGGAGGGACGCGTCTCGTAGTTGAAGGCTCTGATGAAATCAGAATCACCTTTATTCATCAAAGTACATTTACACATGGAATTACCCGGGAATTTGCCTTAGTGAGAAGGAGCTGCCAGCAACAGACAATATACAAACAGAATTCAGACACAAGTCCACATAGACATCATACAGAGTATACCATTTCAGTACAGTAAACATACAACTCTGGAGTTTAGGCTGACTGCAGTGGGAATATACCATTTAAGGAGGGGATACTTCTATATAAGCAGAGGGAAGGCTGTTGCCATGGCAAATATATGCAGTGTTGTGCAGAGGTCTACATAGTGCAAATCACAGGAGGTTGGTGGCACCTTAATTTGGGAGGATGGGCTCGTGGTAATGGCCGGAGCGGTATTATTGGAATGGTATCAAATACGTCAAACACATGGTTTCCATGTGTTTGATGCCATTCCATTTACTCCGTTCAGGCCATTATTATGAGCTGTCCTCCCCTCAGCAGCCTCCACTGGTGCAAATGCAGTATAGTGCAGATTTGTATTAGAGGTCATTGATGACATTGGTTAAATGTAAAGTCACTTACACTACATGACCAAAAGTATGTGGACACCTGCTCGTCGAACATCTCATTCCAAAATCATGGACATTAATATGGAGTTGGCCCCCCCTTTGCTGCTATACCAGCCTTCCAATCTTCTGGGAAGGCTTTCCACTAGATGTTGGAACATTGCTGCGGGGACTTGCTTCCATTCAGTCACAAGAGCATTAGTGAGGTTGGACGATTAGGCCAGGCTCGCAGTCGGCGTTCCAATTCATCCCAAAGGTGTTCGATGGGGTTGAGGTCAGGGCTCTGTGCAGGCCACTTCTTCCACAACGATCTTGACAAACAATTTCTGTATGGACCTCGCTTTGTGCACGGGGGCATTGTCATGCTGAAACAGGAAAGGGCCTTCCCCAAACTGTTGCCACAAAGTTGGAAGCACAGAATTGTCTAGAATGTCATTGTAGTTTACAACAATTATAGTTTCTGAGGTGGAAGTTGGGAGAGTTATATTTGGGAGTTGTGGTGAGGGAGGCCCCGCTCTCTCCTTTCCCAGATGTTTAGTTCATTTCATTCCGATCTCCTCTGCATTATTGTAGCCATTTGCTAGAGCCTGTCAACTATGCCTCTGCCTATCCCTGTTCTCTCCTCTCCGCACAGGCTATACAAACGCCTCACACCGCGTGGCTGCTGCCTCTCTAACCTGGTGGTCCCTGCACGCACCACCCATGTGGAGTTCCAGGTCTCAGGCAGCCTCTGGAACTGCTGTTCTGCTGCCAACAAGGCAGAGTTCATCTCAGCCTATGCTACCCTCCAGTCCCTCGACTTCTTGGCGCTGACGGAAACATGGATTACCACTGAAAACACTGCTACTCCTACTGCTCTCTCCTCGTCTGACCATGTGTTCTCGCATACCCCGAGAGCATCTGGTCAGCGGGGTGGTGGCACAGGAATCCTCATCTCTCCCAAGTGGACATTCTCAATTTTTCCCCTGACCCATCTGTCTATCTCCTCATTTGAATTCCATGCTGTCACAGTCACTAGCCCATTTAAGCTTAATATCCTTGTCATCTATCGCCCTCCAGGTTCCCTTGGAGAGTTCATCAATGAGCTTGACGCCTTGATAAGTTCCTTTCCTGAGGATGGCTCACCCCTCACAGTTCTGGGGGATTTCAACCTCCCTACGTCTACATTTGACTCATTTCTCTCTGCCTCCTTCTTTCCACTCCTCTCCTCTTTTGACCTCACCCTCTCACTGTCCCCCCCTACTCACAAGGCAGGCAATACGCTTGACCTCATCTTTACTAGATGCTGTTGTTCTACTAATCTCACTGTAACTCCCCTCCATGTCTCCGACCACTACTTTGTATCCTTTTCTCTCTCGCTCTCCTCCAACACTACTCACTCTGCCCCTACACAGATGGTAATGCGCCGTCGCAACCTTCGCTCTCTCTCTCCCGCTACTCTCTCCTTTTCCATCCTATCATCTCTTCCCTCTGCTCAAACCTTCTCCCTCCAATCTCCTGATTCTGCCTCCTCAACCCTCCTCTCCTCCCTTTCTGCATCCTTTGACTCTCTATGTCCCCTATCCTCCCGGCCGGCTCGGTCCTCCCCTCCAGCTCCGTGGCTTGATGACTCATTGCGAGCTCACAGAACAGAGCTCCGGGCAGCTGAGCGGAAATGGAAGAAAACTAGACTCCCTGCGGACCTGGCATCTTTTCACTCCCTCCTCTCTACATTTTCTTCATCTGTTTCTGCTGCTAAGGCCACTTTCTACCACTCTAAATTCCAAGCATCTGCCTCTAACCCTAGGAAGCTCTTTGCCACATTCTCCTCCCTGCTGAATCCTCCTCCCCCCCCCCCCTCCTCCCTCTCTGTGGATGACTTCGTCAACCATTTTGAAAAGAAGGTTGACGACATCCGATCCTCGTTTGTAAAGTCAAATGACACTGCTGGTCCTGCTCACACTGCCCTGCCCTATGCTTTGACTTCTTTCTCCCCTCTCTCTTCAGATAAAATCTTGCGACTTGTGACGGCAGGCCGCCCAACAACCTGCCGGCTTGACCCTATCTCCTCCTCTCTTCTCCAGACCATCTCCGGTGACCTTCTCCCTTACCTCACCTCGCTGATCAACTCATCCTTGACCGCTGGCTATGTCCCTTCCGTCTTCAAGAGAGCGAGAGTTGCACCCCTTCTCAAAAAACCAACACTCGATCCCACTGATGTCAACAACTACAGACCAGTATCCCTTCTTTCTTTTCTCTCCAAAACTATTGAGCGTGCCGTCTTTAGCCAACTCTCTTGCTATCTCTCTCAGAATGACCTTCTTGATCCAAACCAGTCAGGTTTCAAGACTGGTCATTCAACTGAGACTGCTCTTCTCTGTGTCACGGAGGCTCTCCGCACTGCTAAAGCTAACTCTCTCTCCTCTGCTCTTGTCCTTCTAGACCTGTCTGCTGCCTTTGATACTGTGAACCATCAGATCCTCCTCTCCACCCTCTCCGAGCTGGGCATCTCCGGCGCGGCTCACTCTTGGATTGCGTCCTACCTGACCGGTCGCTCCTACCAAGTGGCGTGGCGAGAAGCTGTCTCCGCACCACGTGCTCTCACCACTGGTGTCCCCCAGGGCTCAGTTCTAGGCCCTCTCCTATTCTCGCTATACACCAAGTCACTTGGCTCTGTCATATCCTCACATGGCCTCTCCTATCATTGCTATGCAGACGACACACAACTAATCTTCTCCTTTCCCCCTTCTGATAACCAGGTGGCGAATCGCATCTCTGCGATCCGTCATCCATATCAGTATGGATGACGGATCACCACCTCAAGCTGAACCTTGGCAAGACGGAGCTGCTCTTCCTCCCGGGGAAGGACTGCCTGTTCCATGATCTCGCCATCACGGTTGACAACTCCGTTGTATCCTCCTCCCAGAGTGCGAAGAGCCTTGGCGTGACCCTGGACAACACCCTGTCGTTCTCCGCTAACATCAAGGCGGTGACCCGATCCTGTAGGTTCATGCTCTACAACATTCGGAGAGTACGACCCTGCCTTACACAGGAAGCGGCACAGGTCCTAATCCAGGCACTTGTCATCTCCCGTCTGGATTACTGCAACTCGCTGTTGGCTGGGCTCCCTGCCTGTGCCATTAAACCCCTACAACTCATCCAGAATGCCGCAGCCCGTCTGGTGTTCAACCTTCCCAAGTTCTCTCACGTCACCCCGCTCCTCCGCACACTCCACTGACTTCCAGTTGAAGCTTGCATCTGCTACAAGACCATGGTGCTTGCCTACGGAGCTGTGAGGGGAACGGCACCTCCGTACCTTCAGGCTCTGATCAGTCCCTACACCCAAACGAGGGCATTGCGTTCATCCACCTCTGGCCTGCTGGCTCCCCTACCTCTGCGGAAGCATAGTTCCCGCTCAGCCCAGTCAAAACTGTTCGCTGCTCTGGCACCCCAATGGTGGAACAAGCTCCCTCACGACGCCAGGACAGCGGAGTCACTCACCACCTTCCGGAGACATTTGAAACCCCACCTCTTTAAGGAATACCTGGGATAGGATAAAGTAATCCTTCTACCCCCCCTTACCCCAACCCCCCCCCCCCCAAAAAAAAAATAAAAAATAATAATAACATTGTAAAGTGGTTATCCCACTGGCTATAAGGTGAATGCACCCATTTGTAAGTCGCTCTGGATAAGAGCGTCTGCTAAATGACGTAAATGTAAATGTAATTGTATGCTGTAGCGTTAAGATTTCCCTTCACTGGAACTAAGGGGCCTAGCCTGAACCTTGAAAAACATCCCCAGACCATTATTCCTCCTCCACCAAACTTTACAGTTGGCACTATGCATTGGGGCAGGTAGCGTTCACCTGGCATCCACCAAACCCAGATTCGCCCGTCGGACTGCCAGATGGTGAAGCGTGATTCATCACTCGAGAGTACGCGTTTCCACTGCTACAGAATCCAATGGCGGCGAGCTTTACCCCACTCCAGCCTACACTTGGCATTGCGCATGGTGACCTTAGGCTTGTGTGCAGCTGCTCGGCCATGGAAACCCATTTCATGAAGCTCCCGACGAACAGTTGTTGTGCTGACGTTGCTTCCAGAGGCAGTTTGGAACTTGGTAGTGAGTGTTGCAACCGATGACTGAAGATTTTTAAGCGCTACGCACTTCAGCACTCAGGTTCTGTGAGCTTGTGTGGCCTACCACTTCGTGGCTGAGCCGTTGTTGCTCCTAGATGTTTCCACTTCACAATAACAGCACTTACAGTTGACCAGGGAAGCTCTAGCAGGGCAGAAATTTGAAAAATGTACTTGTTGGAAAGGTGGCCTCCTATGACGGTGCCACGTTGAAAGTCACTGAGCTCTTCAGTAAGGCCATTCTACTGCCAATGTTTGTCTATGGAGATTGCATGGCTGTGTTATCGATTTTATACACCTGTCAGCACCGGTTTTGCTGAAAAAGCCAAATCCACTAACTTGAAGGGGTGTCCACATACTTTTGTATATATAGTGTAATTCCTATGAGCCCACTGGCCGGTTGATGAGGGCCACAGCATGGGGGAAGAAGAGGGCCACAGCATGGGGGAAGAAACTGTTCAGGTGGCGGCCATTTTGTTCATGACTGACCTAGGGCTCTATTCAATCTGTAAAGATGAAGCGTTACAGATTCAGTGCTAGAAATGTAAAGGTAATTTCCGATTGAGCCGACATGCAGCGTTTACCATGAATGCAGTCTCCGCTAAAGTGGGAACATTGTCTTTAGATTTAAATCACGCTGTCAAGCTGAACTTCCACGATGTTGATTGAATAGGGCCCCTAAACCGTCTGCCAGAGGGGAGTCTTTAAAAGATGGGGTGTCCAGGGTGGGCAGGGTCGACCATGATCTTACCTGCACGCTTCCTTGTCCAAGGAGTTTTCATGTAAGCTTGTGTTATATTTTTTTATGAATTCTGGGCTAGCCTGACTGGCACTCAAACCTGTGTCCTTGGGACTGTTAGTCCAACACCTAAGATCGCTAAGATTGCTAGGTGTTGTAGTGAGGTCATACAACACTCCAAGGTACCTGCAGTCCAGTGTATTTGAGCATCGTCTGGCACAGTCCTCCAGCGTCAGCCCTGGGAGTATCAGCACCCGTGCAGAGTTCCAGGAGGTAGGAACCAGCTCCCTTCCCTCGGAACGCTGGAAGTCATTCAGAGGACAGCGGAACCCTATGGCCAAACACAAAAAACACAGTCCTAATGCCTAATGGGACTTGTCATTCATTCAATCTAACTACTATCTTAGTGGAGTGTATTACAAATTAGGGTTGTTTCAGAAGGGCTTTGGTTAGAAGTTCTAACTTAGAACCACTAGGCCTATTTACTGAATTCTGAAAAGCACACCATGTGTTGGGTACCCAGCTGTCTGTGTGTCAGCTATTCTCCTGAACAACATGTGTGCATGTGTCTGAATGAGCACATAAGACCTTTGAACCACTACACCATTTTTGTGAAGCTTACATGGGTGGACAAGTGTCCTCTATCAAAACTCTTCAACTGATAGAATCACCCTTTTGACAGACTGCAGTCAGTAAAATGACAGTATACATTATTGATCCCATTAATAGCTAAACTAAACTGCCACCTAATCGTTTTTGCTGCAGTCACTTCTGTAGTATTCCTTGGTAAAATTAGCTGACCAAGGAATATAATGTATAACTACAAAAAGACACAACAACTCAACAACATCAAATCAATCCCAGTTACATTAAATTAGATACTAATTGGCACATGAATGTCATTATCTCCAAAATTCAATAACAAAAAACTTTTTTTTTCTTACCAATGACCAATCCCCTCCAAAATGCCAGGAGAACACAGGAAATAATGAGCTGCATGGCTAAGGTAAATAGTGAGACTGAGTGCAGTGCTGAATGGAAGCAGATCCGATGATTTTTTTGTCAGTTCTGTCAGTTTTTTGTCAGTTCCGTGTTTCAACGAAATTGATTAAGGTAGAGCACGGTGAAAGATTAAGAAGCCTATAAAAAATGTATTGTGGTGTTTCTTGGACGGGAAAATACAAAGTTACGAAATCAGTGTGAATAATGACTTTATCCCGTCCACCCACACGTGAACATGTAACAAAGCTTAATCAAATAGAGCCGCTTACCCCAAAAAGACAACCAATCGATAAGGACATTAATCATTAATACAATGTAGCCTAAAATATCAACTGAAGTCAGTGTGACACTTTATTTATGAGCCCCGGCAATACGCGTGATCACCACTGGACGTCAGTAGACTCCAAATGACCACAGTAGATTGACTTTTTTTTGGGAAAAGTGAAACTACAGAGCCATCCCACTTTTAGTTCAGACAGAAACCACTCAGACAGCGTGAAGGTAAAGATACATTTATTTTACATGCATTAAAATCTAGGCTAATCAAATCATTGTGGATAAATGTGGTTGCAAATTGAATTGAGAAAATGTGAACTTTGATCACAGGCAATGTGTGCTTGTGGGCAATACGAGCTTTGAGCTTTAACTTTACCTGGAGATCGATTACAGAAAACTTGACAAGAATCCTCCATACATTTAATTTGGTGGCTATCGGGCAACAAACATTAGAATGCGACAATGAAGCTAGCCTTCACTACATGCACAACACACTCAATCAATGGGCTACTAACATACCTAATGTAGCATATGAAATGCATTTACACATGCAGATATCACATGATTTTTATGATGTAATATCTGTGGTGCTAATGTGCTATACATTTGTTTACAATGTACTGTATCTTATGACGCTGCAACCTGGACTCATGGGGTAGACGTAACATAGTCCACTAAATCTGCCTACCTCCATTTAGTAAGATATTTTATATTTAGTATGGTGTATTAATTTGTGGATGTCCATCATCCATTTCGTATGATACTGTATGTTATGAATTGCAATCCGTACAATATGTTATAAATACGCCCACTCATCCACCCCGACCAACCAGCCTCCTTTTGTTTTTGCCTTAAGTAACTTTCTGTCTTATGTAACCATACCAAACATAACATATCATACTAATTTGAGTGCCTCGGATTTACATGTACTATGTTACATCTAGTTTATGAGACCAGGCTGGACAAAAATCTAAAACAGGACTATAGGATGTATGGCAGTTGTTAATTATTTATAATTACTGGAAATGTTACAGACTTTGGCTTTAATGGACTTTTTCACCTTCTTTCTACTGATATTTGGTGATGATATTTAGGCTGTATTTTTTAAAATTAAAACCTCCTTCATAGGATGTGTGCTGCTAAAATGACAGAAGGGAACTTGAACATGGAATCCTGCAAGGCCCCTCTGTTTTAGAGACAAGCTGAACCGGCCACAGGTGAAGTCAATCTGTCCGTCCTACTTCTGCACGGCATCCGTTTCTCATCTGAGAACTGGCTCAATATAGGCACACTGGAGACATTGGCCAAAGCTGGCTGTCGTGCTGTGGCCATCGACCTACCAAGTGAGCTTCGGTTGTGAACAGTAGTAAATTAGTAGTTGAGCAACAAAAACATAATTAATTACTCAATTAATCACTGACCTGTAACTCCACCTCTCTCTTCCTCTACCTTCTCCCCACCACTAGGTTTTGGCCAGTCTAAGTCAGCAGTGGCCCCCTCTGCTGTAGGAGAGCTGGCCCCTGGTGAATTCCTGAAGCAGGTGTGTGAGGCCCTGGGGATGGGGCCAGTGGTGGTAGTCAGTCCCTCTCTCAGTGGCATGTACTCCCTACCTTTCCTCTTCCAGCACGAGGCTCTGGTCCGGGCTTACATCCCCGTGGCTCCCATGTGCACTGAGAAATTCACAGCAGAGCAGTACGTCAGCATATACAGTGGGGAGAACAAGTATTTGATACACTGCCGATTTTGCAGGTTTTCCTACTTACAAAGCATGTAGAGGTCTGTAATTTTTATCATAGGTACACTTCAACTGTGAGAGACGGAATCTAAAACAAAAATCCAGAAAATCACATTGTATGATTTTTAAGTAATTAATTTGCATTTTATTGCATGACATAAGTATTTGATACATCAGAAAAGCAGAACTTAATATTTGGTACAGAAACCTTTGTTTGCAATTACAGAGATCATACGTTTCCTGTAGGTCTTGACCAGGTTTGCACACACTGCAGCAGGGATTTTGGCCCATTCCTCCATACAGACCTTCTCCAGATCCTTCAGGTTTCGGGGCTGTCGCTGGGCAATACGGACTTTCAGCTCCCTCCAAAGATTTTCTATTGGGTTCAGGTCTGGAGACTGGCTAGGCCACTCTAGGACCTTGAGATGCTTCTTACGGAGCCACTCCTTAGTTGCCCTGGCTGTGTGTTTCGGGACGTTGTCATGCTGGAAGACCCAGCCACGACCCATCTTCAATGCTCTTACTGAGGGAAGGAGGTTGTTGGCCAAGATCTCGCGATACATGGCCCCATCTATCCTCCCCTCAATACGGTGCAGTCGTCCTGTCCCCTTTTCAGAAAAGCATCCCCAAAGAATGATGTTTCCTCCTCCATGCTTCACGGTTGGGATGGTGTTCTTGGGGTTGTACTCATCCTTCTTCTTCCTCCAAACACGGCGAGTGGAGTTTAGACCAAAAAGCTATATTTTTGTCTCATCAGACCACATGACCTTCTCCCATTCCTCCTCTGGATCATCCAGATGGTCATTGGCAAACTTCAGATGGGCCTGGACATGCGCTGGCTTGAGCAAGGGGACCTTGCGTGCGCTGCAGGATTTTAATCCATGACGGCGTAGTGTGTTACTAATGGTTTTCTTTGAGACTGTGGTCCCAGCTCTCTTCAGGTCATTGCTCAGGTCCTGCCGTGTAGTTCTGGGCTGATCCCTCACCTTCCTCATGATCATTGATGCCCCACGAGGTGAGATCTTGCATGGAGCCCCAGACCGAGGGTGATTGACCGTCATCTTGAACTTCTTCCATTTTCTAATAATTGCGCCAACAGTTGTTGCCTTCTCACCAAGCTGCTTGCCTATTGTCCTGTAGCCCATCCCAGCCTTGTGCAGGTCTACAATTTTATCCCTGATGTCCTTACACAGCTCTCTGGTCTTGGCCATTGTGGAGAGGTTGGAGTCTGTTTTATTGAGAGTGGACAGATGTCTTTTATACAGGTAATGAGTTCAAACAGGTGCAGTTAATACAGGTAATGAGTGGAGAACTGGAGTGCTTCGTAAAGAAAAACTAACAGGTCTGTGAGAGCCGGAATTCTTACTGGTTGGTAGGTGATCAAATACTTATGTCATGCAATAAAATGCAAATTAATTACTTAAAAATCATACAATGTGATTTTCTGGATTTTTGTTTTAGATTCTGTCTCTCACAGTTAAAGTGTACCTATGATAAAAAATTACAGACCTCTACATGCTTTGTAAGTAGGAAAACCTGCAAAATCGGCAGTGTATCAAATACTTGTTCTCCCCACTGTAGGTGCATATGTGTGTGTGTGTGTGTGCTGAGGGATTATAGCTCCCCTCTCTCTTTTCCCCTCTCTGGTTGGTCAGTGCTTGTTGCAAACACGGGCTTTGCTCCTATGAAACATGTCCTGTGTTTGGGTGCTCTGTGTGACTGTCCGGAAATCTGAAATTGCCTTTAAAAGCCGAATTGTCTACAACCTGCAATCGGATTGAATCCCGGCCTTTGTATGTGAGATTGGGTAACAGTTTATTTGAACTAGCCACCTCTACTTTCATTCCAGACTCCGTCTCTGATTGTCTATGGAGACCAGGATGCTCAGCTAGGGGAGGTTTCTCTGAACAACCTGAGGAGCCTGGCCAATCATAAGGTGGTGTTGATGAAAGGAGCAGGACATCCGTGCTATCTGGACGACCCAGCCACGTCGCACACAGCTCTCACTGACTTTCTCAGCACGTTGTGATGTTGTTCAGTGTCATTGGGATATCTGTCCATGGATGCAACACTATACGACCAACAATTCAACGTTGAATACCTACTAACATTTCTTTATATAAAAAAATCTACTATGTATGTTGTTGCTAACTTGTGGAATAGACACTGTCTGGAATGCGGTTTTAACCAATCAGCATTCAGGTTTAGACCCACCCGTTGTATAATATTTGTCAAAAGCTAGTAGGGAGGATTTCTTATATCAAAGACTAACTTGTGATGTTTTGGGGACCTGTAAATAGGTCACTGATGAAAATAGTGTATGTGAACTGTGTGTTTGTAGCCTATACAGCAGGGCTCTCCCTCTCCAACCCTGTTCCTGGAGAGCTACCGGCCTGTAGGTTTTCACTCCAACCCCAGTTGCAACTAAACTGGTTCAGTTTATCAACCATCTGATTATTAGAATCAGGTGTGCTAGATTAGGGTTGGGGTGAACCTACAGGACAGTAGCTCTCCAGGAACATGGTTGGAGAGCCCTGCTACAGTTGAAGTCGGAAGTTTACATACACCTTAGCCAAATACATTTAAACTCAGTTTTTCACAATTCCTGACATTTATTCCCAGTAAAAATTCCCAGTTTTAGGTCAGTTAGGATCACCACTTTATTTTAAGAATGTGAAATGTCAGAATAATAGTAGAGAGAATTATTTATTTCAGCTTTTATGTCTTTCATCACATTCCCAGTGGGTCAGAGGTTTACATACACTCAATTAGTATTTGGTTGCATTGCCTTTAAATTGTTTAACTTGGGTCAAACGTTTTGGGTAGCCTTCCACAAGCTTCCCACAATAAATTGGGTGAATTTTGGCCCATTCCTCCAGACAGAGCTGGTGTAACTGAGTCAGGTTTGTAGGCCTCCTTGCTCGCACACACTTTTTCAGTTCTGCCCACACATTTTCTATAGGATTCAGGGCTTTGTGATGGCCACTCCAATACCTTGACTTTGTTGTCCTTAAGCCATTTTGCCACAACTTTGGAAGTATGCTTGGGGTCATTGTCCATTTGGAAGACCCATTTGCGACCAAGCTTTAACTTCCTGACTGATGTCTTGAGATGTTGCTTCAATATATCCACATAATTTTACTTCCTCATGATGCCATCTATTTTGTGAAGTGCACCAGTCCCTCCTGCAGCAAAGCACCCCCACAGCATGATGCTGCCACCCCCATGCTTCACGGTTGGGATGGTGTTCTTCGGCTTGCAAGCTACCCCCTTTTTCCTCCAAACATAACGATGGTCATTATGGCCAAACAGTTCTATTTTTGTTTCATCAGACCAGAGGACATTTCTCCAAAAAGTACGATCTTTGTCCTCATGTGCAGTTGCAAACTGTAGTCTGGCTTTTTTATGGCAGTTTTGGAGCAGTGGCTTCTTTCTTGCTGAGCGGCCTTTCAGGTTATGTCGATATAGGACTAGTTTTACTGTGGATATAGATACTTTTGTACCTGTTTCCTCCAGCATCTTCACAAGGTCCTTTGCTGTTGTTCTGGGATTGATTTGCACTTTTCGCACCAAAGTACGTTCATCTCTAGGAGACAGAACGCGTCTCCTTCCTAAGCGGTATGATGGCTGCGTGGTCCCATGTTGTTTATACCTGCGTACTATTGTTTGTACAGATGAACGTGGTACTTTCAGGCATTTGGAAATTGCTCCCAAGGATGAACCAGACTTGTGGAGGTCTACTTTTTTCTTTCTGAGGTCTTGGCTGATTTCTTTTGATTTTCCCATGATGTCAAGCAAAGAGGCACTGAGTTTGAAGGTAGGCCTTGAAATACATCCACAGGTACACCTCCAATTGACTCAAATTATGTCAATTAGCCTATCAGAAGCTTCTAAAGCCATGACATCATTTTCTGGAATTTTCCAAGCTGTTTAAAGGCACAGTCAACTTAGTGTATGTAAACTTGAATTGGAATTGAACTGGAATTGTGATACAGTGAATTATAAGTGAAATAATCTGTCTGTAAACAATTATTGGAAAAATTACTTGTGTAATGCACAAAGTAGATGTCCTAACCGACTTGCCAAAACTATAGTTTGTTAACAAGAAATGTGTGGAGTGTTTGAAAAACGAGTTTTAATGACTCCAACCTAAGTGTATGTAAACTTCCGACTTCAACTGTATACAGTATGTATGTACTGGACATGAGTCCTGGTATTTCAGAGATGTAAAAACAAACACCACGCAGTTAAATGAAGTGAAAAATATGAACATTATTTAATAACTGATTCTCTGTAATAAACAATTTGAAAATATTTTACAAGGAGTCACAGACACAATATTTTACAAATTTTACCCTCTTCTTTTTTTTTGCTTTATCAGTACAAAAGAATGGAGCGACATGGACCAATGCCCAGAGAGAGGGAGCTAAATCTTCTGCGCACACACATACATTCACACACACACAAAAAATTAACAAAAATAAATATAAATAAAAACAGTTTAGATCTCAAAGTTATCTTTACTTTATTCCTTTTTTTTTTTCTTCACAAATATTTGACTGATTTTACTCTTTTTATTTTTTTACTGATTTTTTTTAAACACATTTGTCAAACATGGTCACATAGCACCAGACTACAGACTACAGAATCACATACACACGTGTCTTTCCCACAGAGATGCACGGAAACGGCAAGGCTAGGGAGGGGTAGGGGAAGGGCCACGTGGAGACCCTCCCTCTAGGGCTGGCCGTAAAGCAGACCCCTTCCTCTCACCCCAAGCTGGCCCTTATTTTCTCTTGTCTTTTTTTGTTGGCAAAAATAAATAAACATTCAAACCACAGAAAACTGACCTGTGTCCCTCAGCACACTATTGGGTCCCCTTCTGGGACACACAGACATACAAATCATGATTCTTTGACCTTTTGTTTGACACAGTCCCATGGCTTACTTCAGTCTAGAGCTGAACATCCCCCAGCTGTGCATGTGTAGGTATGACTGTTAGTGTTAAATGTGTGTGCCTTGTGCAGGTGGGTGCATGAGTGTGTAACTGCATGTCTGAGTGTGTGTGTGTGTGTGTGTTATTTTGATTTTATTTTATTTGTTAGTGCTTGTGTCTGCTGCTGAGCCAGAGGAAGTCACAGGGGGTACATTTCCACAGCGAATGTAGCCTTCATTGACCGAGTAAATGTGGAGATCTACAGAGGGACAAACAGATGCTGTGATATAATAAAACAATAGAATGCAATAGGACTATACGAGGAATTTCAAAAATGGTGGACCCAAACATTGAAAGGAGCCAATTGCAAACATCATATTCTGAATTTCTATTTGGTCCAGTCTTTCACTGAGATAATTATGCAGTTACGAAACATTTTGTCTTGCCAAAAATGAGATTTTTCACTGTACATTATGTGTGTAGTTATGGTTACAGTAAAGGAGGTTTTGGGGTTTAGATGTTGTATTCACGTTAACAGTGAGGAGGGGTGGAGGGATTTCAGAGTCAATACAGATTCAGAGTCAATGTAAACTATGAAAGTCCTCCACTCCAAGCAGGAATGTGTACAACAAACTCACACCATTTCATATCGACGGACGGACACACCAAAACCTAAACCTCTTTAAATCCAGAGCTCAACATTCTGGATTGGGAAAGTCTGTGGAGAAAAGTGAATATTTGGTAGCCTCACTGCGTGTGTATGTTGTGTTTGTGTGTGTGTGTGTGTGTATGTTGTGTTTGTGTGTGTGTGTGTGTGTATGTTCTGTTTGTGTGTGTGTGCGCGCGAGTGTGTGTAAGAGGGAGAACACTGAAACATTAAGGCATTTAGAGAGGCTTAGTCACTATGTATCCTTTGAAACAGAAACACACTGACATATTAAACATTATTTTTGAACACCTCTGTGAATACAGAGGTTACATACAGTATGCAGCTCCCTCATGACAATATATTGAGCAAACCGGTCAGAAAAAATTGATTGGATTCTTTTTTTTTGTAAAATTAATTTTTTCTTCCATAACAACATCTGATATAACACTTCTTCCATTGGAATTGGAACAACAAACAGCTACACTACCATAACTGTCATCCCTCATCCTCTCAACCCAGCTTTAAAGACATTCCCTTTGAGGGTTAAAACAAACATACACCCATACACAAACACAAACGCACATACGGTTCAGGCAGAAACGCAACGATAGCGGTCAGGTGGCCCTATAAAGGTAGTTTTAAGACCAGTTGCTTTATACTGATAGTTTAGCTCTATAGATGGCTCTGTAAAGGTACTGTACAGCAACTCTATCTGGTAGCAGTTAGGTAGCCCTGGAATGGTACAGCAACCAGGAGCCACAGCCAATCGAATCTCTACATTGAGCTACAATAACGTCTTAGTCAATTATGGTGTCTCTATAAAGCTACTGTAGATATATAGCCAATAGACTTGCTCTATAAAGATCATGTAGCTCTACAGCCATTAGGGTGGCTCTTCTATAAAGCTACTGTAGATATATAGCCAATAGACTTGCTCTATAAAGATCATGTAGCTCCACAGCCATTAGGGTGGCTCTTCTATAAAGCTACTGTAGATATATAGCCAATAGACTTGCTCTATAAAGATCATGTAGCTCCACAGCCATTAGGGTGGCTCTTCTATAAAGCTACTGTAGATATATAGCCAATAGACTTGCTCTATAAAGATCATGTAGCTCCACAGCCATTAGGGTGGCTCTTCTATAAAGCTACTGTACAGTAGCTCTAGAGCCAATGCTTTCCAAAACAAAGTGCATCAAGGCACTATGACAACAGAGAGTGGCTCCTAAACATGGAGTCTAATGACATTTCACTTCAAATTGATCAGAATGACATGTAACAGAAAACACACCCAGACTGCAGCTCAGTCGTCAGTGGCCTCAGCTGCATATCTTTATGTGGGAAATGTTAAGCCCCAATCCCCCAGCAGCAAATGGTCTGAAGTTACACAGCGTCTGTCAAAGGTAATACAAGCTAAGTTCTGCCAAAACCTACCTGCAACTAAAATTAGATACTTATGGGCCAGTCTGAATAGATATTTGTGTATCTGCGCTTCTGTGGTGACAACAGATATTAAACACATACAAATACAGTCCTAGGAACATTAGTGGACCCGGTGTGGCGGCCGTATGAGGATTGGCAGAGGGGTTCGCTTTCACTGGGGTCAGGAGCAAAGGTCAGTCAGAATGTCCACTGATCAGAAAGGATCCCACTGGGCACAGATGTCAATTCAACGTCGATGCCACGTTGGTTCAATGTAATTTCGTTGAAATGACGTGGAAACAACGTTGATTCAATTAGTGTGTGCCGAGTGGGATAGCACTGTACTACACACCACCTACAGCAATGAAGCCCAAACGTTCAGACTTTTGAGAGGCTTAATACTGATTCATAATAAACTGGTGTAGCCTAGTGTTTTTAATTTTTTTGTAAGGGAAAAGTTATAATTTGCTTTGTCCAATTCGGACACCTAATTACCGATTCATTACCTAACATCAGTTATCTATGATGATCAAAGACGTCAAATGTTATTCTTTGTAAGACTACTATTTCATATTACCATGATTATAAATACAATACTGTGCTTCCAGGGGCAGAAACAGTTCAAACTTCAAGTGGAGAACAGTAGAGGTCTTCAAGAAGAATTGGTATTCAGCCAACTCAGTTATTCCTAACACTATTTCTCTAGCTTTCCTTTCTGAGTTTCTCTTTTTCCTCTCACTAATTTGGTTATAAAAATAAGACCACATGAAAAGTCTCTCATTTTGGCAAGAAGTAGATATAGTGCATAAATTAATTAATGTAACAACTAACAACTTTCATTGCAAATGATACCCTAACATATGCTTTGAATACTCAATACTTCAACAGTTTATAATTGTATGTTTTTGTATACTTGAAAGTTCATTTTTTCCTTAATTCTCTTGTTACAGTAGCTATAAATGTCTGAATGGTCCGTATAGTAGCCCCCCATGAGAGACACATGACAGAGCGATGAGACTGATCAGGTCAGAGATGAGTGAGCGAGATGGAGGCCATGTCTCCTCATCCCGTCTGACTAACAGAGGCAGAAACATTCAACCTAAACTCTGCTGTGTCCATGACAGCTGGAGCTCTGTGACATTGCATCCAACTTGTCTTTTAACTTGTCACTCGTCCTGTTGATGCGGGTAGGGGTGGGGTCTTTTTTGTTTTCTGACATAGCCTCTGATAATTGTGGTGGTTGGAACACCAACCTTCTGAATCTCTTCCCATGGATGAAGGTACGTAACTCGCTGAGAACATACAGGTCCTGCAACTGTCACTAAGCAACAACAATTGAAGCTAGCTGGGTACAGTAGCGCGGTACTCAGGGCTTCCAAGTTGCAGTGACAGGAAGTCCCATTATAACCTATGACTAGAGCAGGGGCGAGCATAGAGGGGAGAGGGCGGGGGCATTAGGATGGAAAAAAAGCTGGGGAGAGTAGACAGGAGGAGAATTAAAGTAAGAGGGGCAGAATATGGGGGCTGGCGATTGGATAGAGGAGGAAGAGCTGAATCATGAGCAGGGTCTGGAGTGAGGGGCGGAAGGAGTGGCCCCGCCCACAGTCTGATGTGTTCTCCTGGAGAGTAAAGGAGACATATTTAGTCATACAGTAGAATTTTTGAAAATAAAAAATAAATATTAATGGTGTGTGTCTTCTTAGTGAAAATAGGATCTATGCGCATGAGTATATGTTTATTGTATGGTCTGTGTAAACGAGTGCTGAGTTGTACACTCAGTTGTAAGTCTTACAGAGAGATTGTAGTCGTAGCACACAGTGGGCCCTTTTCGATACCTCGCTGCACTCATGTCCTCACATGATGGGTTCTCGTCCTTGACTGGAAGAGGCGTGGTTAAGGAATGACTCACATTACCTATATAGTCACTCTCCAAGTCTCTGTGTGTACAAACACCCGCTCCTATAGCTTCCTCTCCCACAGGTTTATGCCATAAAAAACATGTAACACAAAGATAAACACAACATACAGAAGCTTTAGTTAGAATAGGCATCAAAGGGTCAACTGGACCGAACCCACATTTAAATGGTTTGACAATAACACCAGTCAGTTGAATGTGAAAAGCCACTCTTATAAACAAGTCGATAAAGAGATAGATAAACGAATGAGCGGAGAAGACTCCCAACAGCAGGTGTGCATATGTTGGTAAGGATACACTCAGTCTCCGCCTGGGACAGTTTCTCTACCTCACAGGTATTGCAGGGCATCTTCTCTGCCACCACAAACAGCAGGTTGGTGTTGTTTAACCTCTTGGCATGGATCAGCCTACACACAGAGAGAGAGAGACTGAGTCAACAAACTCTTCTTACAAGTGTAGGATCTTAAATTGACCTATATTGTCACAGCAAAATAATCCTGCAGGATTTTTATGTTTAGTCTATTATGTTGCTTGATCGGTGGTTAGGTTATTAGCTGGCCAAAAGTAGGCTACATGAAAAGTGCAATTAAGCAATAATGCCAGAGGAGTTGTGGTATATGGCCAATATACCACGGCTAAGGGCTGTTCTTATGCACGACGCAACGCAGAGTGCCTGGACACAGGTGCCTTATTGCTATTGTAAACTGGTTACCAATGTAATTAGAGCAGTAAAAATAAAAGTTTTGTCATACCTGTGGTATACGGTCTGTTATAAACTGGGTGGATGCTGATTGGCTGAGAGCCGTGTATGACAAAACATGTATTTTTACTGCTCTAATTACGTTGGTGCCTAAGAACAGCCCTTAGTCGTGGTATATTGGCCAGAATACCACACCTCCTCGGGCCTTATTGCTTAAATATACCACAGCTGTCAGCCAATCAGCATTCAGGGCTCAAACCACCCAGTTTATAATACTGTTTATATAACCTTGTGTTAGTGTGGGTTTTCAGTGAATTTATCAAAATCAATCACAAAAGATCAGGAAAATTCTCAGCAACAAAATAGTGATAAAATTAAGATCCTACATTTGTATATGACAGACTTGTTCATTGTTGGATCAGCTCCATGAGATAGTTTTACTAGGCTCATTTAACTTAATGAGGTTACTATTTCAGTACTTCTGATAGAATTTCATCAACTTTTAGATTCATTAAGGCAGCGTTTCCCAAACCCGGTCCTCGGGACCCCAAGGGGTGCACATTTAGGTTTTTGCCCTAACACTACACAGCTGATTCAAATGATCAAAGCTTGATGATTAGTTGATTATTTGAATCAGTTGTGTAGTGCTAGGTCAAAAACCAAAACGTGCACCCCTTGGGGTCCCCAGGACTGAGTTTGGGAAACGCTGAATTAAGGACTATTACTCAAGTGCATTTTCCATTAACTATGTTGGTGTATGTGTGCACCACAGGAGGTTGGTGGCACCTTAATTGGGGAGGACGGGCTTGTGGTAATGACTGGAGCTGAATCAGTGGAATAGTATCAAATATATCAAACACATGGTTTCCAGGTGTTTGATGCCATTACATTTGCGCCGTTCCCCTGTAGCTCAGTTGGTAGAGCATGGCGCTTGCAACGCCAGGATTGTGGGTTCGGTTTCCCACGGGGGGCCAGTATGAAAACGTATGCATTCACTAACTGTAAGTCGCTCTGGATAAGAGCGTCTGCTAAATGACTAAAATGTAAAATGTAATATTATGAGCCGTTCTCCCCTCAGCAGCCTCCACTGGTGTGTACGAGTTGTAAGTGTAGAGTAAAAGCTACCTGGAGCAGTTGCCACAGTCCTGCAGGATGTCATAGGAGCTGCTGATGTTAGTGAAGTAGAACTGAGTCTGTATCGTCACACAGCTGGTCTCTCTGGAGTCCATCCCCTCGGCCTCCACCTCATCTACAACACACAGACATATACATATTGATGTGGACACAGATAATCACTAGTACAGTCTAGTGTTGCAATCACTGTCCTTCATAAAAAACATATATATAGGACAGTGATATAACAATATCTCGACTTTGTACTCACCTGTGACAAACCAACTATGGTAGGCCATTCCATAGAGCAGCTGCTGAAATAGGGACCTGAGTGGAAAGGGAGATTGTTTAAAGGATGTTGGTGGTGCAAATATGTGGCTCTGTTTTAGTAGTGTGTGTTTCAGGTAACAGTATTCCTGTATTCTCTGGTCTTACCAGGCAGCTGCTGATGACCACCAAGCCAGGTTCACAAAGTCCACAATGGTGGGCTGATGGGAGGGAGAAAGAGGGGGAAGCATGAACACAAGGACATTGACTGTTCACCATTTTAAATTTGCTAGCTATCAAGCATTCATTCATCCATTATTACAGAAGGGTGATAGCCGTGTCTTTCATTGTTGAATGTGTGAAGTACTTACCACAAAGACTCCTCTTGGCGCAGCCCCGGTGTTGCTGCTTGGCACGGGGTCACACACAGACTGGTAGTCAAAGGACTGCTTCCGGTTGTAAAAGGAGTTGTTGTAGAGAGCATGCATCAGGTAGGGGTCCACTTCACTAAAGAACATGCCAATCTGTAGAAGAGAGGAAATACAGAGTTACACAACACAGATTTATAAAACATGCCCCTAAGTCAAAGATAGACTGGGTTCAATAAAGCTTTGTATTAACTGTAAGGACATGTCACCTTGTTCCAGTGATCCTTCTGATTGGACATGATCATAAAACCACCGTCATCCACCAGGTAACACAGAAGGTCCTACATGGCCAGGCACAGATAGACAACCATGACAACATGAGAACCCAACTGTTAGTTAGTCTGTTTAACTCTCAACTATGTCTCATGCATATAGTACCATTGAAAACATGATATTAGCATTATGCACAGTGGTGTAGTGGTGCCTGGAGATGTGGGTTTACTCTAATCTTGCCAAAAGATCCCAAATGGTCCTGCCTGTGTGAACAATTCTCAGATAAACAGTGACATACACTCTGAATGACCTAAAATGATATATCCCATGTTGGTCTTTCACAGTCTGGTGTCTTCTGACTCAATTATGTTTTCCCACAAATAGCATTTTGGAACATTCACACCGTTCTAGGCCTACCGCCGTGTGTACATTGCTGCACTGAAAATGTGAATAAATAATAGTTTATCAACATTTTAAGCGAAACATTCCGATCTGTTCCAACAACCTTGTTAATTGATACGGCGTATACCTCCACTACTCTACTTTAATACGCATCCTGGGGATTAAGAAGGGAGTATACACAATGCCCACTGAAAGATAAGTGGGTATACGGCGTAAACCTGTATATACCCTCCACTACACCACTGATTATTCATAATCTTACTTCGCTGTTGGCGTCACAGTCCATCTCACAGCCACTGGTTGGTCCACACTGCAACAAATAATCATCAAGGATCAGCAAAAAACACATTTCATATGTTTTTGTGTGGGTTCAATTCCTGGTTGTCCTTATGTTTGTTACCGTTTGTTGGACTTGGCGGTTGTCACTTGTTGGACTTGTTTGGTTGCTAGCCAAGATCTTGAATTTGTCCACCCAGGCCTCAAGGTCCAGCTTTACTCCAACCACTAGTCATACATAGAGGGAGAGACGTTGAGATATTCCCAAAGCAATGAGAGAGAAGGGAAGAGCGTGCGTGCGAGAGACAGATATTTTCCTCCTACCGTGATACATTTATTTCCCTCCAAATACCTACTACAGATGTACTATCTTAATTTGAACAGTTTCTCACAGCAGGATAATGATCCTGCAGCAACAGGAAATGTGAATTAGTATGTGGATTATAATTAATGGACATTTTTGAAGGGGTTGATATATTTTTCGTTTAAAGTGGAAATAACAAACTTTACATGCCTTTTTACACCTCGAAAACACTACAATTTACATTTCCTAAATATGTTCTATGCCTGCAGTGGAGTAACACATCATACTACTCCATACTAGCCCCCAGTGGAATAACACATCATACTACTCCATACTAGCCCCCAGTGGAGTAACACATCATACTACTCTATACTAGTCCCCAGTGGAGTAACACATCATACTACTCCATACTAGCCCCCAGTGGAATAACACATCATACTACTCCATACTAGCCCCCAGTGGAGTAACACATCATACTACTCCATACTAGCCCCCAGTGGAGTAACACATCATACTACTCCATACTAGCCCCCAGTGGAGTAACACATCATACTACTCCATACTAGCCCCCAGTGGAGTAACACATCATACTACTCTATACTAGCCCCCAGTGGAGTAACACATCATACTACTCCATACTAGTCCCCAGTGGAGTAACACATCATACTACTCTATACTAGTCCTCAGTGGAGTAACACATCATACTACTCTATACTAGTCCCCAGTGGAGTAACACATCATACTACTCCATACTAGTCCCCAGTGGAGTAACACATCATACTACTCCATACTAGTCCCCAGTGGAGTAACACATCATACTACTCCATACTAGTCCCCAGTGGAGTAACACATCATACTACTCCATACAGTCCCCCAGTGGAGTAACCATCATACTACTCCATACTAGTCCCCAGTGGAGTAACACATCATACTACTCCATACTAGTCCCCAGTGGAGTAACACATCATACTACTCCATACTAGTCCCCAGTGGAGTAACACATCATACTACTCCATACTAGTCCCCAGTGGAGTAACACATCATACTACTCCATACTAGTCCCCAGTGGAGTAACACATCATACTACTCCATACTAGTCCCCAGTGGTGTAACACATCATACTACTCCATACTAGTCCCCAGTGGAGTAACACATCATACTACTCCATACTAGCCCCCAGTGGAGTAACACATCATACTACTCCATACTAGTCCCCAGTGGAGTAACACATCATACTACTCCATACTAGTCCCCAGTGGAGTAACACATCATACTACTCCATACTAGTCCCCAGTGGAGTAACACATCATACTACTCCATACTAGTCCCCAGTGGAGTAACACATCATACTACTCCATACTAGTCCCCAGTGGAGTAAACTAACCATACTACTCATCATGCCTCTGTAAAAGACATCACACAAACTCAGGACCTCTGCCTTGCTAGCACATGTGACTGCCCTCCTGAAGCGTTTTACCAGTCGGCGCCACGCGGAAAGCTAGCTATGCAGTGGTGCAAGTGGGGACACTTCAGGCTGAGGAGTAAGTTTCACACATTCCCATGTGCTACACCTCCACCAATGCTAATGAACCCTTCCCTCCCAGAGTCCCAGTGTCCCGGTGCGGTGCGGCATGGCCCACCTGCAGGTTTGATGGTCTTCCCTCCCACTATGATCTCCACTGCAGTGCTGACCAGGATTCCTATGGTGTCGTTCTCTGGGTTCAGCAGCTCATCATTCACTGCATTGGAGAAGAAGCAGAAAGAGAAGGAAGGGATGGGAGGAGGGAGGGAGGGAGGAGAGAGGGAGGAAGGAGGGAGGAGAGATGGAGGAGGGATGAGAGGGGAGGGCAGGGGGAGGGAGGAGGGGAGGGAGGATGGGAGGTAGATGGAGGAGGGAGAGAGAGGAGGGAGGGAGGAAGAGAGGGAGGAGGGAGAGAGGAGGGATGGATGGAGGGAGGGGTGAGGGAGGGAGGGAGGAGAGAGGAGAGGAGGGAGGAGAGGGAGAGAGGAGGGTGAGGGAGGAGAGATGGAGGAGGGGAGAGAATGAGAGGAAGGAGGAAGGAAAGGAGAGATGTGAGGAGGGCGAGAGGAAGGAGGAAGGAGAGATAGAGGAGGGATGGAGGAGGGAGAGAGGAGGGATGGAAGAGGGAGGGAGGGAGGAAGTGGATGGAGGAGGGAGAGAGAAGGGATGGAGGGAGGAGGGAGAGAGGAGGGATGGAGAAGGGAGGGATGAAGTAGGGAGAGAGGAGGGATGGAGGAGGGAGAGAGAAGGGATGGAGGGAGGAAGGATGAAGTAGGGAGAGAGGAGGGATGGAGGAGGGAGTCAATAACAAACAAGTCAACAGAACAGATCCCATAAAGACTTTAGTAGTCCAGTAGTGTCTGGGTGGAAGTGAGACAGATGGTGACTCACCGGTGCGATAAGGCGCTCTGAAGATGTAGCCCTTGTTGTCCAGACTCCGGCGGTAATAGCTGGCATTAAAAGGCTCAGGGTCCTCCTCCCAAGTCTCAGCAGCCCTGAGGATCAGCACAACATTAAAACTCACAGACAGAGCCAGGGCCAGAAACTACTAAACTGTAAGGTATAATGGCAGATACCTTGGTCCAAGCTATCCTGGATATTTAATACCAGTTTATATGTTTATAAGCACAAAAAGTAATTTAGATACATTTATGCACTTGACTTTGCACTTGACTTTGGCACTTGACTTTGGCACTTGAAGTTGGTCCAATATTTGGGAGGCTTTACGTGCACATTCAATGTACTCTACTACGTACAACTTTGAAGAAATGTTAGGTGGTAGATTAAGACTGGACTCACTTGTTGGGATACACTCTTGTAATCCCTCCATCTGTTGCAGCGAACACTGCCAGAAAGCCATATCTGCAACACAGAACAGGAGAGTGAGAATAAAGGAAGTACCCAGACTCTGGATATAACACGTAGTACACATGCAGTCCTCTACTCACGTGGTGAGGTCTTTGGTTTTCCACACCTTCTCCACCAGTTGTCTGATGATGCCAGTGTCCAGGATGAGGTTATGAAGGAGCAGGTTGTCACCTGGGTTAGACCACAGTGAGAAGGGAACATGCTTTAGGAGGCATTGTGATTGACAGCAAATTGTTGATTGTGACTGTGCATTTAAATACTGAGTATAGCGGTCATATGTAAACTATGAGAATTCTGATCCTGCCATTACATTTCCACGTGGCGAGGCTACAGTAAGATGAGAGGTAGTCTCCCCTGAGGGAAATGGAGGGACGGAGTGACTCACATTGTTTGGAGTCAGGTGTCACCTTCTCCATGAGAGCGATGAAGTTGAGCAGGAACTCAGTGTTGTTGTTGGAGAGCTCTAGCTCGTTGCAGTATTCCCTGAGGACAGTCAGTGGTATCATTTTATTTAGACCCAAGAACAGTTGAGAACAAACACACAATGTGTGTCTGGCTTCTCATATCCTCTGGGCAGGTATATGACCAGCTCTTATTAACAATGCCCAGATGCACGTTCCCAAACACTCTCACAGCACACAAACCCATGGAAACTCATATGCATGCATGTCCTGCGGTTGTCAGGATATTCAAACATGCTGACGAGACAGGATGTCAAGAGCGAAATATGGAGTGAAGGGCTGGTGAACGTGTAACACACTGGCAGCAGACAGAGTGAGTGTACTTGTCAGTCTTTCAGCACGGAGCTTTACAGGATGAAGGTCTGATCATGACAAAAAGAAAACATGCAAAGGGGGATTTCATTCACCTTTTTATACACATTATACTGTATATCTTTATTTACTTCTCAGTAGGTATTCTCAAGATTACATACTGTATTCATACTGCAGGCATGAACACACCCTGGAATATGCATACACACAAAACCATGCAGCACCAACTGGCGACATGCAAAGGATGTGAGGTAGCACAGGAACAGTTCTGGGGGCAGGGAGGGTATGTTTTGGGATGGGAGGGGTTACTTTGGGGTAGGAGGCGAGAAGGATTGAATGCACTGAAATTCCAAATAAGTAGACTATATAAATTCTGTTGTTGTCAGAAACTGTGAAATAAAAAAACACAAGTGTCGTCACACTCCTCACTCTGTCAACAAAGAACACACAAAGTCAAACCAGGATATGAGAAAACCAACAGCAACGACACAACAACAAACAAATTATTAAAAAGCACAGTCTTGAACACCACAAGAAAATAAATGAGAGGTGTGACTGACAATAACAAATGACCAGTGGCTGAGGAGATTTATTGGTGTGACGTTAAAGTGTTGGGGGTTGAGGGACGTTGGTGGAGGTGAACAACACAGTAATGTTGTGAGCTGAAGGTGGCGGAGACACTACGGTGAGGACCATCAAGACAAATGGCAAGACAGCAAACATTCACACAGGGCTACCTGGGAGCTATGAATACATGTCCTTCAGACTCAAAACTGTTTGGCAGCAGAGATTCAAAATCTGCAACAGAAAGGGGAAGATTATCTGGGAAGAGCCATGAGCAGTGGGGGGTTCTGGGTACACAGCGGCTGTTCTTCAGGGGTGCAGGGAACGAGGAAGGGAGTTACCATAGCAACACCGAAGAGGAATCATGGGGGATACACCAGCGTTAGCCAATATGGTGCCTCAAATGCAACCTGACTCTGCCCAGCACTCACTTCTTTCTCATTTTCCACTTTAGTTCATAACCATTGAAAAATAATCACCAGATGAATCCAACCATTTTGGTTTCAAGTTAATTGTTCTTTTTTTTATGTCGGAGAACTGACTTCCATCACACACCATGAGGGGAAGTGAGTTCTCAGACAGATCAACCCATAATGAGTGTGTTTTCACAGGCAGGCATCAACATGGCCAAGTATTGCAGGGGGAGGTGGGTGGCGCAGGGGTCCTGATGGAAGTGGTCACCCCTCAGACTGGCAGGGGACACGGCTCCAAGGGACACACAATCAGGGGAAATGCATTGCATTGTGAAGGGCATATCAAGGGGCAACTTGCTTTACCTCTAGTAAGCTAACCTTATTCGTTTTCATTCAAATATGTAAATGTATCTATGAGTCTCTTAACCTCATTAAACATTGGTACTGCAATATATCTATTTTTATCTGACATCTTTTACATTTCAGATCATCTCTATAAAACATGAGAAAGTAGATGAGAAGTAGATGATACATATAAGTATTTGAAAACTAATAAATGACTGCAGTGCCCAGGTAGTGTTGCACCCACAATGCCGTGCACATCCGGGTCATGGTTGTTTTGAGGAGGAAGTAGAGGGCCGTTCCCCCAGCAGTCTGAGGGCTGATAGGGGGGAGGAGGGAGACAAGCTGATGGATACAGGGGTTACAGAGGGACGACACACGAGGCAGGCACCACGGGGCGCTCTGCCACGTACCCAACAACATGAGAGGACCAGGGTGACCCACAGTGTGGCCCTAAAGAGATTCATCAGCAGCACTAGCTGACATGGATGGGGACAATATAGGTTGAGCTAACTAACACAGTCTGTTGTTCAGTAAAGCTAACATGCTAATAACATTAGTTATGCTAACATGGGGATTTAATCACCTGGGCTTAAACAGCTTGGCTACAATGCCGGTGGCCTTAGTCAAGCTAAAATATTAATAGCCTAAACGCAGCGATCATAATAATGTTGTAAATAGTTGATACACTGTGGTGACATTCTCAGATGCACTATCATGGACCAATGAACTCAAATGGGACCAGCCTCAGTTATACTAATAAAACAATGGGGTTAACTTCAGTTTGTCTAACTACATTATAATGACAAACAATGCTTAGTCATTACAGATAGAGCTTTGCCTGCTCTAGTGTGAGGACAGTTAATATGGAGGCCGTTCTTAGCTCCTCATGGCTTTTGGAACCGATGGCGGCTCCCTCAACTCCTGTACACTGGTATGAGAGTTAAGACATCTTTTCAGCTACAATGACATTGTAAGACAGCGAGAGAGATAGCGAGAGGGAGGAATAAAGAGATGGAGGGAGAGGAGACAAGGAAAGAGAGAGAGAGATGGAGGGAGAGGAGACAAGGAAAGAGAGAGAGAGATGGAGGGAGAGGAGACAAGGAAAGAGAGAGAGAGATGGAGGGAGAGGAGACAAGGAAAGAGAGAGAGAGATGGATAGTAAAGTGACAGTTTAGAGAGCTATCCACAGAGGGGAGGTATAGAGGGGACAAAAGACAAAGGTTTTAACAGAGAACATGGATATTATCTGTCTTCTTTGGGTGTTTGGAGGTGTTGTGAGTGTGACTGAAGCACCAGAGACGTGGGGGTGAGGTTGTAGACTGGAGGAGCCATCGTGAGAGAGATGGGGTCTGAGCTGCAGCAGGAGCGTGGGTGAGTGGGTGGGTGGAGAGTGAGGAGGAGGAGGAGGAAGAGGAGGGTCTTGAAGGCAAGATGGGCAGGAACAGAGGCAAGCAGGCTGGGACAGGTGAGGGTGGGGTCAGCGAGGGTGGGAGGAGGTTAAGGACGTAAGGGTAGGGAACGTGGACCAATATGGAGTATACTTGCCCTTGGTGTATTGCACTGTGTGGATCCATCAGAGAAGTAGTGAGCAAGAAAAGAAAGGGTCAGGGTAGGAGGAGGGGGGTCACAGACAATATTTTATTCAATTATTATTTGAATAAAAATATTGCTTTCTCAAAAGAAAGAAACCAATTAAGTCAAACAGACGAGAAAGAAAATAAATGAAGAACAAACACCTTTTTTGCAAGAGCAAACAAGAAACTGAACAGAATGAGAAAAAAGGAAAATCAGAAAGTCGAAAGTAAAGGACAAAACCGGCACTGCGAAAGTTAACCATGAAAACCCCAAAAATAAAAACGTAACAGAAAGAACCAGGAAAAGAGCGGCGCAACATGGTCTGGAGAAAGAAAGCATGAGAGAGACAACAGGTGTCCTCATTCAGACCCACTAAACCCAAACTCCCACAGAGGAAGGAAGGACAGACCCTCATCACGGGCCATGGGAGTTTATCTACTGAATGATTCCAAAGCTGAATACAAAACAGCAACAAGAAACAGTCCAACAGAAAATAATCACACATCTAGGAACTCAACAGGAAGACAACTTAATAGAAATCATAACAAAAGCAAAACAGAAAGGAGTGAAAAGCATGCCTGTTTTCACGGGTTTGGAAACATAAAAAAATAACATGTTTAAAAACACAGACGCTTCAGAATCATTGCTTGTTCGTGGAGAAGAGGCGAGAGCATTTGGCAAAGAAAATAAATAGCACAAGATCACCATTATTTTCACCTTAGTAACATAGTAAAACCACAGCTTTCACCTTTCTGCTAGTTCAGGTTTTTTCTTCAACAGTTGTGAAGAAAAAAAAATCACCATAGTTAACCGGCACAGTATGAAGACAAGAGGGTAGATAGAGGGGGCTGTAGATAAAGGAGGCTGTAGAGGAAAGAGTTTCACTCCCAGTATGTCCTTGTCACTGTCACAGGGGAGGAGAGGGGGGCAAGGAGACAGGAGGAGAGGAGAGGAGGAGAGGAGAGGAGGAGAGGAGAGGAGAATGGGGGTATAGAGTGCTCCACTCTGATCGTCCCTACGATGGTGTTCGCTGGAGACCCAGGACGCATTACTTAGTAAGGGAGGCATAAGGTCATATTTGGGAGAGAGAGAGAGAAAAGAGAGAGAAAAGAGAGAGAGAGAGCGAGAGAGAGAGAGAGAGAGAGAGAGGGCTGGTGTTGGGTGTCTCCTGGTACTTACACTGCACCTGCAGGATCTGGTCACTCAGGTTAGCCTTGATGTGGTTCTCACTGTATGTGGGCAGTACCAGCCCTAGACTGGAGTGGTGAGGCAGACACAGAACCACATCAGAATCATACTATATCTGCCTTAATATATACACACACACACACACACACACACACACAGAGCCTTTGGACAAACATGACAGCATTCCCTAATTGGGAGGCGTGAACAACCTGCACTCACACAACAAAATAGGTTCAAATGATTCGAGAAATACAACTACTGTTCAAGCTTAATGACGTGCTTATAGAATTGAAGAGAGGGACATTGCTCAAGTCGGAAACCAAACAACTGGCTCCCAGCCAACAGAGATGCAGTAAAAAGCCTCATCAGGCATTTCTAGGACTATTGAATATCATCAAAGTGTTGCCAGGAGGAAATATCATTATAATTCTACCTCAACCGTTCAACCTAGTTTTGGAGATGAATCAAATGAAAAAAGCATGCAGTTCATTTGTGTTTAGGATCCTACTACAGTTATTTTACGAGAGAAAGGAGTGTGTCTTAATGTTGATTCAGGTGAACCTGTCACGATCGTCTACCAATGAGGAAGCGGACCAAAGCGCAGCGTTGCGAGTGAACATAATTTATTAATAAACGTACTCACGAAAA